CTTTTTATCCTATATTCTTATAATTTCTTCCTCATTTTTTTCTTTTTCTAATCTTTCCTAATTTACCGACCCTTCTATTTTGTTGTTTCTCCTAATGTTTTTCTTACTTTTTATCCTATATTCTTATAATTTCTTCCTCATTTTTTCTTTTTTTCTTTCATCCTTTTTTGTCATTCTAATCTAAGTCAACCAGGTGTTTTCCTTAATTCTCTTGTGTAGTCTATCGTCCCCCATAATGACGCCTTAATTCATTAGAAAAGTAATGGCTCTGCATGATCACCCTCGACCATGTCAAGATAACACTCATACCTGGAACAGACAAACGACTGGGCTTGTTTCCAAAATATATTTTCGAAAAAGAGGTTTCCAACGAGACACGAACAAAGCTAAAGACAGCATGAAAGATCATGAGTGACAGGCCTAAAATACATTACCTTTCTTATTAAAAATAGACGTCAAGATTTCGCAAAATAATCAAAAGACATTTAGATTACTTTACCTTTATTTTATTAGCAAACCAAAAATATTTCTAAAGTTTTGAGGAGCGTAAGACGTCCAAACTGGCAGCCTTAAGTGTAACAGCTGGTTGAACAAGTCTGTTGACGCTGAAGTCTTGGCAAACTAGACAATATGTCGTCTGTTTTCACATACACTTGTGAAGCTATTTCAACGTTATTAAAGCGGTTTAACTCGGAGAAGCTATTTCTATGTTATGGCAACTCGTATTGTGTATGTACATGTTGTAATTGGCTGAAATATAGGGAGCCCGTTAGGTGTAACGATATACCGCATGCTGTACGTCTCGAGAGTGTTACAATGGAAAGCCAGTTAACTGTAGCTGTTAAAACATATTTTATCATTTACATGTTGTAAATAACTATAATGAGAAGCCAGTAAAAATTTAAAGCATATCATATCATGTACATGTTGTCAAGTCCCCACAACGAGAAGCCAGTTAACTGTTAGAACATATCTTATCGTGTATATTTTTAAAGTCACTATAATATGAAGCCAGTTAACTGCTAGAACAATATCGCACGTATCCTTTACATGTTCTAAGTCGCTATATTGAGAAGCCAGTTAACTGTTAGAACATATACATATATATATATATATATATACTATGTTCTAACGGTTATATCTTATCATGCACATGTTGCAAATCGCTATAATAGGAAGCCAGTTAACTGTTAGAATATACTGTATTGTGTAAATGTTAGAAGTCGCTATAATGGGAAGCCAGTTAACTGTTAGAACATACTGTATCGTGTAAATGTTGTAAGTCGCTATAATGGGAAGCCAGTTAACTTTTAGAACATACCATATCGTGCATATGTTGTAAGTCGCTATAATGGGAAGCCAATTGACCGTTATAATGGCAGGAAGCCAGTTAAGTGTTACAAAAAAAATCGTGTGACAGCTCATAATTGGAAACTGACCAATTCAGTGTACAGGAAAACCAAATTGCATTGATATTCTAAATTGGTACAAGGAAGGCAATTCATCATTTATTACTGCATCTCTTATTTTTGTAAGTCGGTTCAATGAAAAGCAGTTTCAGTGTTCTCGAATCGTCGGCGGCCGGATTGTATGTGGCTTTTGTCGTTATTAAAAAAAAGCATTACAGGTGTAATTCGTCTTATTGGGAAGCCATTTCAATGTCATGACCTCCCAAGTTCTGCACGCGCTTGTAACACGGTCATAGATATAATGGGAAGCCAGTTTAATTTTTCGTAATATCGTACCGTGTACTGACGTACTGTAAGTCACTATTATCCATTTACAGACAGCCTAAAGGCATATTCTGCAAATGAGTTTTTCAAACTTCCACACAAAAATGGGCAAATATAGAAAAATTGATATAAAAAGTAACTATTAATTTCCCAAGAATCCTGTAAACTGCAAGACGTCATTGGCGCGCAAGCACAAAAATGATAATGCGAGCTCACTAGCTTTGCATGGCCGAAACTACTCGAGTACATGAAATCGCTTCTGCGATAAAAATAACCTTAGCGCTTCCATGGCAACGACTGCTGGTGTCAATTTAGTCGCGAATCAATGTAGAATTTCGAAAGCTCACTCCAACTATGAGAAAAATATCAAGAAGTTGAAGCGATATTCAATTTGAACAAACTAATATTCACTTCTTGTTTTTGTTTGGGTGTCAGCGTTTTAAAATATATTCTTTTAATGCGTTAATATCGAAACGTTTCGTTTTTGCGGAAGGATATTTAGGGTGATATTTTGCTTCGCGGGTTTCTCGACTCAACTTTTAGGATTATTTTTGGAACCACGCAAAAGGACATAATTAAGCATTTCGCTTCAACACTGTATGTTCAACCTCTAAATTATCGCTTTGATCTGTTTTTTTTCCTTCCGAGTTACAGGCAGGACGCATACTGTGAAAAGTATTCACCTTTACAGTACTTATTCCATTCAATCTTTTTTAATGGTATGGTTTTAAGTAAGTCAAAGATGACGGCCTAGTGTGCCTGGTTGTTGCAGCTGCTCGAATTCTTGAGTCAACTGTGTAAACAACTGCTGACTATTTTAAATCATTTTTCTTTCCCAAGCCTCCTTGTAATGCGTAAACTTTTATTTGAAGTAAACTGGAGGCTGAATGGATTTTTATTTCAAATTGAAATGTTCGTCGGCAAAGGAACCAAAGAGGATTAAAATAGTATAATTATATCGTTGGCCGCCCATTACCCTCTGTAGGAACGAAAAAACATAAAACCATTAAAGAGCTTAAATGCGTTCTTCATTTTTTTTTTTTTTTTTTTTTTTTAATTGATTCTTTACTTCGCAGACGTTTTATTTGCTTTGCCATGGTTGCCTAGTAACCACGACTACAACATGATGAATGAGGCAGATATTTTATTACTAGTTTCTGGCAGGGATGGTTTAAAGCCGATTAAATGCAAAAAACTATCGTTACGTTTAACAACTCGTACGTCCATCACACAACAACAATGAAAACAGAACCCTTTACATATCAGTCGTTTTTATTTTCTCCTGTAATGATTCTTGTCAAGATAGTTTATCAAGTTCATATTTTATAAATTTAATCGAAATTGAATAAATTTCAGAATTTTTATTTGTTTTGAACGAATTCGAAGAAAAATATACAGCCTCCAATGTTCATAGACTTCCGATTTCATTTACTACAACACAGGCAGGGCGAAAATCGAAAAATATACAAACTTATTTAAGTATAAAGACAGAAAAAGCCAATTGTTGGTCTCAGTATTTTCCTTTATTCTTTTTATTTGAACTTCAATGCCCCTTCTTTTCTTTCGATAGATTTTTTTTTACATATGAATGAAAGTCAAGGCATTTTATAAGTCAAGAACGGAAAGAAATATAATAAAAACATTCAGATGAAACGGCTAGTATAAAACAGCGAAAACAAGGGAAAATAGTCTCTTCGCAAAACCTAACGCACTTAACTCAAATTCGAACAGTGCCGGTGCATTAGCTGTGTCCTGACCGATTATTTCAGAGGTTGTTTCATGATCAGTTATAGGTAAAAATTTGAAGTAAAAAATAACAGTCCAAATCTATAATCCAAAACTTCCAATTTGTTTACCAAATACAGAGTAAAACTCTAATACATAAATATTCTAGTGCTTTAGATTATAAAACAGATGAATGTGTTTATAAGTTTATTAATATAAACGGAGAGGTTTAATAAAAATAAAAGACAAAATTGGCAAATATAACCAGTTGTCGGTAGACTGCTTCTCAAAACTGTCGCTCGCTGCACCAACGTTGACAAGCGTCTCAAAAGAGGATTGTAATACAAAGAAGCAAATAAATACATTGATAAAAAACTGGCTTAAGGCGAAAAAAACTCGTATTCGTTGCGAATGTTGACGGTGACGGCGTGCAAAACGCTGAACAACTAGATAGCACAGCACGTAATCGCTTTGAAAATAACAGTGTTTGGAAGATTCAAATTAGAAGAGAGTAACCAACTAAAGGTTGCAAAAAAACTTTACTCTGAAGATAAGGATGATTAGCTACCTTACACTGTCTTTAATTATTATTTTTTTACTCAATTAAAACAACTTCATTTTTCTTACCGACAAACTTTCTTCGTGAATAAAGATAACATCACTCGAATAGAGTGAAGAGGAAGAAGGATGACATCCTCTTTTTTACGGAAAATAGATACTCTTTGGATTGTAAATAAAAGTATAGAAAAAAGAAGAAGTTGTAAGTGGAAAAGTTAAATGGTAATCAACACAGCAGAAGAGCTGTGAACTAGACACCAACGGTTTGCGACAAATCCGCATTACCGTTCAACGTTTCGCGGACCGTAAAACATTTCTTAAAGTTAAATCAAACGGAGATTTTAAGCTAACCGAATAACAAGATATATTTGGTGCTAATAAGAACCGAATATTTTTTTGTTGATACATTATTTTGAAGAAATATTAGTTTTTAGTGAATGATTCGCGGGGGATGAGATTGGAAAAAAAACATAAAATTAAAGTCGCAACTGGTGTATTATTTACATTATACATGGCGTAACGTGAATTATGAATGAAGATCGATTTTTCTGGGATAGCCTTTTAATATTATATAATATCTAGGAGTAACTGAATTTAGCCAAACTACCAAACAAAGTTTACATTAACTATCTTCTTACCTTTTTGTACGCTTTCCAGTAGAAGAAGACTTCCAAAAACGACCTGGTAAAAGATTACAAAGAATAACTGAAATATAGCGGGAACTTACAAATAATATCCTTTGAATTAAATGACAGAGTAATCGAAAACCAAGCGAAGGAAAGAGAAAATACTAACCAAGATTTTTTTATAATGAAGGGTTTGCATTTTAAATTTCGTAGCAGGAGAAAAAGCCATTTCAATGTCGTTGATGAAGTTGCGAAATTTTCATCACGCTATCGGTTCAGTTATCTTGGTTGACTGAATGCTTTCCCCTCGGGCCCGAAGGGCTGCTAAGTTGACCGTTTCGTCACAACTCGCCTCTCAAAAAGTAAATTGACGCAAGAAAATGATTGGAGAATGACAGCTGCCTCGGCAAAGTTAAATAACACAAATCTACAGAGCACTTTAATTATCCAGCTATTATGCAGATAGCAAAAAGCGATCAGTTTTATAAGAAATCCCCTTTGAAGTGAGCAATAAAATTAGCGTAGTTTTATCTTTTCAGAAAAGAATACATTAGGAAATTGAGATAACACACCAAATCATTCGATGCTGACAGGAATATATTTTTGGGTTTTCTTTCTTCAAAGGAAAGACTCAGTGTTCATCTAAAGGTTCCGGTTTGCGCTAAAATCAAGCGCACGAACATCCGATGCAGAGTTTTTTCGACAGCATTATGAACTGGATTAAAGTAAATTTTAAGAGAGAAAAAGTTAAAAATAAACATATTTTGTCAAATTTATCACTGAGTCATTAATATATTATTTTTTCGACATTCATTTGTAGTCATGTTGTTGGCAAACTGAGAATCCGGCATTAAAGCGCGCGCTAGGGAGAGTTTTTGTGAGGAAAGACAGTGCCGACATATTGACTTGCAGTCTATCAGTTACCGGTTTAAATCAATTCACGTACTTATTTGAGGTGGGACAATGTCCTTTTCCCCCTCTCACAGTGACTTTCAGAAAAAAGACTTCGTCARTTTACCGTCTTTATTCGACAGATGAATGCACAGTTTTTTTCCCGGTGTGACTTTTGCTATTTTTTCTAGTGCTATTTTCTATCTTATCTTTCTTGCACTGGTCTTTCCTTTTCTCTATCATTAAACAGATCTCTTGATCATTTTCTCACTAGTTCGTTCATTCAAATATTAGTATTTTTATCTAAAACAAATATCACAATAATAATAATAGTTTTCTTTCTTGAAAAAAAAAAAAACCAACAACAGTTCTTTATCAAAATCTTTAGACTTACTATATTACACAACCTTCAAAAATGACCTAAGAATAGAGGAGAAAGACGTTAAGACTATCTAAAACATAATAACATGTTGCAGTGAGTGCATAAGAAACTTCATTTTATTGGCTAAAGAAGTACCCGGATTTAATGTTCATAATTTGCAAAAGTGCGTGCAATTTGCTCAAATGTTGACTTTTCAAAGTTGCTGTTTGAAAATAATTTAATCTACATGATTGTTGAGGGAAAAGTTTTGAAAAATATTTTGAAAAAATTCTATCGAATATTAATGATGGGTTACTGTAAGACAATCTATAAATCAAAAGGAGACATTTCGGCTATGAAAGCTAGTTTTTCTACTGGTCCAATATGGAATTTCATCTTCATCATAGCCGTCACTTGTCTGATTCCTATTATATTTCTGACACTTGATTTGTTTTTGATATTGCTTGGAAGAGGAAATGTTGTTATGTTGGTTTGTTCTTCAGTGGCGACTTGAAAGCCTTGTCAAAGTCTTGTCTTACCAGAAAATAAATATTGTCAATAATTGGGGGCTTTTAAAAGATGCTGTTCGTATGATACTTGATAGCTTGTATACTTTTTAAAAATTCAAACATGTATCTGCATTTATAAATAAATGATTGAAAATCAGGAGAGTGGGGAGGGACTTCATCGTGGCAAGTCATTGCATCTACCCTCCCTATCTTAGACGAGAAACTGAAGTAATTTTTTTTTCACCCCCCCCCCCCCCATTCCCCGGAACTTGTCATGTCTTCTTCATCCGGCTCTAATCAGTGTTATGGTCAATTTTTGAGAGACAACCATATCTTAAAAATGCTAATTTTATTTCATATTTTCTCATACGAGCAATTGCAAATCGTTGGCAATATTTAATAGGCTAATAATTTTTACCCTTCCCACCAGAATTCTTCATTTTATTTATCATACCACCCAGTTTTTCCTGCGGTTCTGAAGCGCAAGGTGGGGGAGGGGTACATGAAGCAGATTAAATGAAATGGACAGATGGACAAACGAATTGAATGGATGGACTCAGATAAATCCTTCATCAACTGGGCCCGGTTGCACCAAGCCTGGATAGCGCTATCCGGCGGATAAATCCTTATCCAGTGGATACGTCGATGCTGTTATCCAAAAAATAATAATCCACTGGATAAGATTTATCCGTTGGATAGCGCTTTCCAGACTTCCTACACCAGACCCTAGTTGACTATTTATCCGTTCCGTGGGTAGCGCTTGAGTAATCACACTGAGGATACTCATCATATTCTTCATATTGGTATTATGTTCTAAGCAAATATCATGCATTTCCTTTATCCTCCTAGACTCAAATTTCTTTCCTGTTTCTCACCGCTTTTACAGTAAAAATTCTTCGTCATTACTCAGAAAGAGAGCACGCGCTTGAAACAAAATCTTCCGCTTCCGAAAATCGCTGCAATCGGTGTTTACAAGATTAGAAGCCTTATCTTATGATGTATTTAGTAAYGGTATCGCAGAATTAGAAAACGTAGTGGGTAGAGGGGGGTAGGCCGCGACCTCAATTTTTAGTATTGATGGTTTTCGAGGCGGCCATGTTGGAGGAACTTAACAAAAGAATTGACAATTAATTCTTTTTTTTTTATATCCTCCAACATGGCCGCCGTGTCTTTTGTTATTTAATTCTCTTGGGAATGGTTGAAAACCATCAATAGTTCCCTTGAATTGATTTTCTAGAGCCACAATTGTTCTGGGGGACCAAACAATATAGTGTGTGCAACCATGTGCCTCAAAATATCTTGAGATATGAATAACAATGAAACCGCCGCCATGCTGGTTGATCTAACAAGAAAAGCTAATGAGGAATGCTTTGTTATCGTCAACCAACATGGCTGCTATGACACTAGAGAAAAACGTTTGCGCATGCGTACATTTTAGCATGTTTTCTACGGAATTTTGAAGAGTTTGAGTGAGAAAATAAATGTTTGTTTCCTCCAAGTATACAAAAAAGTTCGAGAGTATACTTTTGTCAGACCAAGATACTGTATTAACAAACACAATATGAAAGAATTAGCCTTAAGTTTCAAGCATGGACACTAAGTTTTGGCATTTTGTGAAGTCCGATTTATCAGGCATGTTTGAAAGCCAAATTTACATATGTTTTGTACTAAATTGCATACGGATTCAGAGCATGCGCAGACGTTTTTCACTCGTGTCGGCTGCTATGACATAACATGCGCATGCTCTATAGGCCGTCTTTTCTTATACAAAAAAATCGGCCATTGTTATGTCCCCCAGAACGATTCCTCTCGGGACTCGGTGCAAGGGGTCTATTCATGTATATCAGTCTAAACCTTAAATGGACAGAAAAGAAGTCCATTTGATTCAACATAAAATAGTCTATCTATAATCCATAATGCACGCCAAGCAATTAAATATGACTTTTGTAATTTAGATCTAAAAGTTTAGATTAGGAGCCAGGGATTTAACGAACTTGTTATCAGGGCACATTAGTTGGTTAAAATGAGCTTTTAAAGCTTTGAACGACGGATAACTCGAATTATATCTCACTTGAAATGAGAGTAATAAAATAATCAATAGGAAAATAAAAGGGAAAGCGAAAAAACTAAGTGAGTGAATAGATGACCACAGGAGTAAAATTGGAACTTGGAGCAATAGAATAGAGAGCTATAATTTCATTAAAGATAGAAATGAATGCATTAGAAATGGAAATGAAACGATACAAATGACCAAAGAAATGGTAATGATGAAATGGGACTAGAGAATTAATAGAAAGAGAGAGCAACAAAATAATTAAAAGGAATATTAATTTCAAAATATACGAAATTATGACAATGGTATTGTAAAACAAAACATAACTCTCCAAAATAGCTCAATGGCATAATATTCAAGTATTCGCTTTAGCACATATTAAAAGAAAAACAAAAAAAGAAAAAAGAAGAAAAAGTAAAATTAGGGAGAGTATTTTTTCACTTTTTTAGACCCAAAACCTATCAAATAGAAACCCTTATAAACGTTGTTGGCTAACGACAGGGCTTGTCAATTCTTTAATTTATCAGAGACAACCCGCTGGACCCTCAATATATAGAACTTTCTAGAGTCGTGACAATTTAGACGTTGATTTAAAAAAAGAGAGGCAGCTGCCTCTTTTGGTCAAATTTCTCGCTCAGAAAATCCGATTAGAGCTCGAATATTCATTAAGAATGCTAGAAATACTAGTACAAAATTAAATACTTTTTCCCCAAAATGCCATTCTTTGACTTATTTGTTCTAATTTCTGCCAGGAAGTGTCTGACATCTTTTAATAACAACGTTATGACTGGAGGATCTAATATTCGCAGTGTATGAGAAAAAAAGCCAATCACCTTAAGCCATAATTAAAGTTATGGAGTGGCTCTTTTGAAATATGTCTTAATTAAAATACATAATCTATCAACATCCTGAAGCTTTTACTGGATCTTTGGAGTACGAAGAGTTCTTTTGTAGCTTCTTACATACAATGATATCTGTATTTATCGACGATATGGCAAAATGAAACCGATCGAACCTCTGTTAACCGACCAATCTTTGGAGTACGAAGAGTTCTTTTGTAGCCTCTTACATACGATGATACCTGTATTAATCGATCATATGGCAAAATTAAACCGATCAAACCTCTGTTAGCTGACAAATCTTTGTAGCCTATTACATACGATGATACCTGTATTAATCGACCATATGGCAAAATGAAACGATCGAACGTGTCACTTATCTAACCAATCTTTGAAATATATACCATTTTATACTAAAGTCATTAAATCACTCAGCCTTGAATAGTCCTTATTGGCATGGCGTTTTTCAAAATTTCCTAAAAATTCACTGACACCCTTCGCTGTTCAATATTAACAAAAGGATTTTTCCAACCTAACAAACCCTGTATTACTCGACCTACCTTGAATAAATCGACCACACCACACCAAATCCTACAGACGACCAATACTACTGATTGAAGTGATCTTGACTGTTTCCTCTTTGAGTCCTCGCCATCAAGGTTGTTGTTCTAGACCTGTATTACATTTAGACATATAGAATTAGTCCACTCATGCTTTTATTCTTACCGCGTAGCATCGAGAATATCTATTAAGATTAAAATGTGGGAACCGATGATAAGTGCAATATGTTGTTTACAATGTAGCACGCGCACTCACATGTGAGTAGAATTAGTTAAGTATCTCTCTCTTGCTTTGAGGGTTTTTATCCAGGTTCGCTGGTTTTCCCCCGCCACAAAACCTAACACGCTAAATTTTACATCTAAGAATTATTTTTCTTCTGAAACAGCGTCTGGGCCAGTGATGTAAGTCAGGGCATGGCTAACTCACAGATCGAACCCTGAAACGACCTCTGGGCTGATCTAAGTCAGGGCATGGCTTACTCACAGATCAAACCCTGAAACAACCTCTGGGCTGATCTAAGTCAGGGCATGACTAACTCACAGATCGAACCCTGAAACAACCTCTGGGCTGATCTAAGTCAGGGCATGGCTTACTCACAGATCAAACCCTGAAACAACCTCTTGGCTGATCTAAGTCAGGGCATGGCTAGCTCACAGATAGAACCCTGAAACAACCTCTTGGCTGATCTAAGTCAGGGCATGGCTAACTCACAGATCAAACCCTAAAATAACCTCTTGGCTGACCTAAGTCAGGGCATGGCTAACTCACAGAAGGTGCTAAGTTTAAGCAAAAGCCAAACTTGTTATTAAAATCTTAAATGGTTCTATTGTTCCTCTCTGTTCTTTCTTTCTTTTACTCCTTCTTTATGAAGAGAGGCTCTTAGACCTCCATTTCATGCACAGAAACCATTAAATCAATCTAATGTATCCACTCAGCTATTCATCATTACCCAAAGCATTGAGTAAGATCTTAACACTTTCATCAAGTACTTTCTTTCCTTTATATACACTTAACTTCTCGATATAATTAGTTATTCAGTAAGAACAGCTTTCGTTCGAGTACCATTCTATTCTGAATCTAGACTGGAAATGTGTTCTACATTTTATAATCAAGTATTCTCACTTATATACTTAATATTTTGAACTTAAAAGAAGAAGAAGAAAAACAGTACACCACACCCCTCCCCCCCTCGGCACTAGTATAATAAATTTTGCGAGCTCCTTGTTCTTTGTGAAAAACTAGAGAGCGGCTTTCTTAGTTGGATCTCAGATGTCAGGGCCCGAACCTAACCTTTTAGCCCACTATAGCAACTATTTGAATTTCTTAAAGATTTGAATTGTTTCATCTTGCAATTTTTTTACGAAAAACTTCTCTTGGTCAAATAAAGGAAACATTTACTTGCCAATGTTTGCTAGTAGAATTTTTTCTAAAAGCAAAGTCAAGAAAAATACTAGCACTTTGATAGTTATAAATAATTTTTCGAGCCCTGAATCTTCAGTTTATAACAAAGTAAACTAGAAAAAAATTTTTTTCCGCTATTTCTTTGAGTTTAGCTTTATGCCATGGGTGTCTAAAAATATTTGTGCGACTTGAGGGGGAGAGGGAATGAAAACAAACTGATTTAAAAAATCCCCTACCCCTCCCGCCCGGGGGTATATGCAAGATAAACGCAGTCTAGGTTACTGAGTAGGCATAACAACATTCATGGGTACTTTACTGAAGCTTACGTTATGATCAATACGTTTTATAATCAATATCGATCAATATAAGGCTCACATTTCGATGGAGATACGCAAAAAGTTTTTTAAGGAGCTTTTAAGATCTTGATGGCTTTTGTGAAGTTGAATTGCAGTTTTCATTTCATAAAAATGAAAACTCTAATGGTTCATTTCAAACCCTTAATTAAGTAAATAACATTTTTACATTTATTTCGTTTAGTGTCATTTATAATCCGCTTTTTGTCTTTGCCCACTGTGGTTACCACAGATAGAAACTAGATACCAATTTGAATATTAAAGCAACAACAACAACAATAGTAATAAATAATAATAATAGGTAATAAAAAAATAAAATAAGAAAATAATAATAATAATAATAATAATAATAATAA